AATTGTCGAGGTGGGAGCCTCGGAAGAGAAGGACCCCCCCGGGATGGGGTGTGGGGGGGGGTATGGATGGTGGGGGGGGGCTGTTGTTTCAGAGAAGGCGAAGGCGTTTTATTTCTGCTAGGACACGAATCATGTCAACCCAAGCCCTTCCTCACTCCAGGCAGCCCCAGAAAGGGGTTAAGTGAGCACAACAAAAGCCAAAGTTGTGTATTTATTTTTTTTCCTATATCCTCGTGTGTGTGTGTATATATAACACAGCACACAGTTACATGGCTGCAAAATAACACATGGCGTCCCATAAGGATTAGACTGTCCAGGCTGGGACTGCAACAGATCGTGACCTTAATTGCCTAATTAAACACTTGCACCCCCACCACCACCCCGCCTGGCTTCTGTTTGCCCTCTTTGACCTTCTAGTTTTCCAGGTAGTTGGTTGGGCAGGTCATTCCGTCTGATCCAAAGAAGAAACACTGCAGTGACCGTTCACAATTGTCTCTTGGATCTGTTAAGTATGACACCGCGACCCTCCAAAAACCTTGCAAGCCACCTGCCATCTTCTCCCTGTGTCCTAGTGGTGCTGGAGGGGTTGAGAGATGCAGCTGGGGGGTCAATGTAGCTGAGGGGTGTAGGCAGGGAGGGTGGAGGTCTCTCGGAGGTGCCCTTTTTGCATCAGCCATGGGGGGGGGAGGTTTGAGGTGTTCAGGACTGAAGAGCCTGCAGATGAGAGATGTCTGCATTTAAGGCCATCATGATTGGTGCAAAGCGTGTGGGGGCATTGGTGGGGAGGGTTGATCAATGCTGCACAGAAAGGGGGACAGGATTCTACACTTTTAGAAGTTGTGTGGAAAGGGGAATTTCTCTAGGTGGCATTTATGTGGTAAGTTAATCTGCAGAAATATCCTCTTTCCCTCCTCTCCCCAGCATGATGGATTACATTACGCCAGTTTTTGTAATTTGGATATATCTGTGGATCAGAACCCATTCTGCTTGTTTTACTTGCTGCTTCTGCCAGAGATGCTGAGCACATCTGGTCTCTAAGCAAGTCTGTATACTGCATTTCCATTTTATGGAATATATTCTTCTGAACACCAGTATATCTGCTGCAGTTTAGCTCAGATTACTGTGCTAGAAAACCCTTCACACGGTTACTCTGGCTACTAGTACCCCAGAGGCGAGTGTGACATCAAGCCATTGGATCTTGATTCTGCTCTATAGTAATCAAAATTCAAAAAGTTCAGCATGGCTCACCTTCTGGTCGTCCTGTGTGAGCAGAAGATGGCCTCTTGTGGCGCATATGGTACAGCAGGGAAGTCCGAGTTCTTTCAGAAGGAATAAGGCATGGGCAATTAGCTCGGTTAGCAACATCAGAGGGGAGTGGGGTAGGGCCCAGGTGTAAGCTGCCACCATGCTGTGGGGGCTGCAGAGTTCAGTTGCCTGTTTGGTGCATGTTAAGTGATGCTGGGAGGCCTTTTGGCCTGTGAGTTGCCACTCCTGGAGGCTTCTGGGATGGCACTCAACCTTTTTTTGCTGGAAAAAGAGGTGCCTGAGGGAGAGCTGAGGGGGCCACAACACCAGGCCTTGGTAGTCAGCCACATCCAGTCCTGGCACTGTGCTTTGTCCCAATTTTAGATTATGAATTGTGGCTTCTCTCTCTTGGAGGTGGGGGGGGAATGAAAGAGGTGGGGAGACAGAGTTGCACTGGGATTGAGAAAATGTCAGGAAAATAGGGTTGCGGGGGAAGGGAAGAGTCCTTACTCTTGGCTCAGAGCTTGGCGAAGCAACTTTCCCATGCTCTGATGAACGCACGAAAGGAATGGTGATCCCAGATACAAAGCAGACACTAGCCAAGAATTGATAAGGGAGCGGAGAGGAGAAAGCAGGCCAGGAATTTTGAGGATGGGGGGCTGGGTAGTTCCAGGCTCTGGAGCTAAAAGACTTTACAGATAAAATGGATTGATATTAAAGATGGGCTTCCCAGGAACAAAGAGAGGTTCTCCTTGGCTCAGATGGCAAAGAAAAGGAATGGAAAGTGTGTGGCCATGCCTTGGATTGGCCTGCACTTTTTTGGAGTATCCCTTTCTTCCCCCCCCCTTTTTTTTTTTTTAGTCTTTTGAGAACCATTCCAGTTTAGCTCACTTTGTTGGCTAAAATGAAGCATTTCAAAGTAAAGGTACTAGAGAAACTTTCAGGATGAAAGAAAAAAAATGCTTCTTGTTAACTGCCCCCCCACCCTACCCCCAAACTTTCAGAAGAAGAGAAGTTTGGTAGAGCTATTTATTTATTTATTTATTTATTGCCCCCAAACATTTAGAAGAAGAGCAGTTTGGTAGAGCTAGTTGCAAAGTAGTATGGATATAAAGGGTTCGGAGTGTGGAGTTTTTAGGATGAGGGAGTGTGCTGAAGATTACTGTGCTTCAGTTGGCACGTTCCTCCTTCTTCCTCCTGCTTGATTCTATAAACAACATATGCTTAGTGCCTGCAGAAATGATTAGTTTCTCTTTATTGAGTCTAACATAATGTGCTGTGTTTTGCCACTGAAAATGGTGAATTGCCTGTCTCCTGTTTCATCAGAGTGGCCTTCTTCCACCTGGTTCTTCTTTTGAATGGTGATTGAGGGCAAACATTTTTACCAGAAGCCTTCCTTCCCATCTCTTTCAAATCCTCCTTGTCCTCTCCAGGGAGATTGTGGGCAAGAAGCACTGAATTTTGCCTGCTGGAGATATCTGTCACTTTCCTGTACAAGAAGAAACACTTGGGTTTAGCTGTTATAAACAGTCTTTAATTTTTCACAGAAAGGCAGTGTGTGGATCAATAACAGTAACAACGATGGTGATGATGTGCCATCAAGTCAGTTCTGACTGATGGTGATCCTTTCCAAGGTTTTCCAGGTAAAAATTACTCAGAGGTAGCATACCCTTCCCTTCTTCAGGGTTTGCTCAGGGACTGTGCAGCTTTCCCAAAGCCACCCAGGCTGGCTGTGCTTACAGAAGTCAAAGTGAGGAATTGAACTCTCAATCTCTGGTTCCGCAGCCAAATACCTAAACCACTGAGGTAGATCAATAAACCTAAAATATCCCCCAAAGTGGTGCTGGTTTGGAGCCATGCTCAAAGGAGAATACGGATATCCCAGAAAGTTGGAGTGGACAGAGTGCAGTGAAGCTTTGCTTTGTGTAAAGAAACAGGTTGGAGGCTGGCACATTTTTCTGGTTGCTACTGTCAAGTGAGTTTATTAGTTCTATTTTCAGCACTTTAAATCTTGCAGGTGAATCTATTGGTTGGTATGTGGAAGCAGATGCAGGTTTCCACAGAGAGGCAGGGAAGTGATACGTGCCTTTTCAAAGGCCACCCAGCAACAAAAACCTAGGATCCTTTGCCAAAGAACACAGTAACTTCAACTGTCTAAAAAGCTTATTGTGATTCTTAGTTACTTCTCCAAATTATTTCAAGCCACAACTAGCCAGAGTAGAGTTTAGAGAGCAAATAACTTGAAGGAAAAGGGGCATTGTGCGTGGGAGGGAGTGCTGCTTTACAATGACAGTTTTGACTATGGATGTGGAATACAGCTTATTACAAGATGAAATGGACCTGTCCAGACAGCACTGGATGGCATTCTGCCACAGCCTTCGGCAAGCCCTTGGCATGGCACTTTCCACTCCCCATTTGGGGTCATTTTGCACAAAGTGACCCCTTTTGCCATTGTTTTAGTAACAGCTTCCCATCAAAGAGAGATCCCCACAGTTAGCCAGTGCTTCTCATTGCCATGAAGTTTCAATTAAATGTGAAGTGAGGTTTCCCTTGTGCCCGTGTCTGCTTGTTTTGGGGGATTCTCTTTTAAATAACAGGAAAATGAGTGAGATCGGTCCCTTGCCTCTAGCAATATGCCTGAAAAGTGTCGCTTTTCTCTAAAAGCCTATTGATTGGTGAGCATGCTTTCGGGCATTCCTCTTGGCAGAGTTGTTTTTGCTGATTGATGCTTCTCCTCCAAGTGGACACAGGCCTGGCTTGTAATTCGCTTAGGGACGGTGGTTAATACCTCTGGTGTGACAAACAAGGCGTTGCTGCAGGTGGGCACATTATGCCAGTATGTGGTGTCATAGGAGTTCTGAGCAGCAGACTGTCACATCTTTGCTTGAGGGAGCCGCTTTTTGTCTGTGGTTCTCATATGGGGTGCTAGGCATTCCCAGTGATCACCTCTTGCTAAATATTTTCGGTTTTTCATAAGATCACTGTGTTTCTGAATGAAACTGAGAATTCTCTCCACTGTGTAAACTGGCGCTCATTATCCAAGGATACATATAATGTTGATGGGTCAAATATCTAGTTTATTTAGAGCTATTGTGGAAACAAGACTGGTCTTCTCAGGAGTTGATTGTCTTTTTCTTCACGTCCAATTTACCTTTTTAACATGTCAAAACTATATTTTGAGTGCAGGAGTTTGTATCCCAGTTGTTCAGAATCACTCTAAAAACTCTGAAAAATGACTAACCATCTGATGCTAGCAAGGAACTCTCTAACTGGTGATCCTTTCTAAGAAGATAAAGCTTCTGTGTGTCCTTACTAGCCTGGAATCATTCCAAAAGAGGAGAAAATTGTTTTGCAAGGAAACAAGGAAAGGAAAACTCCAGGAAGCAAAAAAGTAAACAGTTACTAAACTTGGCCATAATCTGTCAGGAATATGGAGCACAGGTTCACCTTGTGATGTTCTTTCTAGAGAGGGCAACTTATTCACCACTGAAATGTTTGCTGCCAGAATCTGGAATAGCTTCTTGAGAAATTATGACTGCTAGAAGTACTTTTTCTTTTGGAAAAGAAAACAGGATCGTAGAAAACAGGAATGAAAGAGCCCTGAGGTATAAAAACAAACCAACAAGCCAGTGGGCAGGGGAGATGAGCGGTGGGTCCAAGTGGCCAGTCCCTGAGGTTGTCCATAGCTGCAAACTACATCTTATTCCATTTCCAGGTGCAAGGCTGGAGGGGAAATGGGAACGACCCTGGCAACATAGGAGAATGCTTTCAGTGCACCAGGAGCCACACAAGGCCTGAAAGCTAGCCAAGAAGCAGCTTTCTTTTGCCAGTGAAAACATTAACTAATCCCAGGAACATTTTGGGAAAAATACTCAACTTCTGGTAATGGAAAAGACCTGCTGGATGAATAAATATATTGTTCTTTATGTCGTGCTGTTTTGGCTGAAGATAAAAAGCCTTGTGAAAGTATGAATAAGAGCCCGGAAGCATAGAGTCTGCGTTGAGGAAGTGGATGTTTGTGCTCTTGAGAGAGAACGGGACTGGCTGTCTGTCTGTGAGATGGTTTGGTTTTGATACAGCTCCGTGTGTCTTTGGTCTGATCCAGTGAGGCTGAGAAGAGGCCTCCCCTGAAGTTTATGTTGTCCAGGCAAGGTTTGTACGGAGTAACCTGGACAAGCAGACTGGGTGGCTTCTCTGAATCTATTTAAAAGCTCTATTTAAAAGCTGAGATTATGGTCAGAATCCATCTGAATCCATTTTATCACATGACAGGGAGGAAAAACAGTGACATTTTCCCACTTTGCCTGTTGCACCACTCAGATGTGTTTGGAGTATGCCATCTCTTGCTTCCATGTGTATGGATACTCATGATTTTAACAGCATTGCCGTTCCTGGAAGGTCCCTTTAAACCACGAGTGGTCAAATCTGTTGGGATTCTGGATTGGACATGAATCGTTCTGGGGTTTTGTGGAAAGGATTAATCCAGGGCTAGTTCGACAAGACAAAACCCTTGAAACCAGCACCAAGAAAGCGGGCTGTTTTGCACTCCAGTCCGAATTCTACTGCCAGTAGGACCACGGTGGGCGCCTTTGCTGACACCTGATTGCTGATCGTGAATGTCTAAAAGCCTAGGACCAGCATATGAGGCTTGGGATTTGCCTGTGGACATGATCTGGCATAAAATAAGGATAAAAAGGGAAGGGGAAGGATGGGAGACTGGAGCTGTTCATGGAGATCAAAAGAACACCATGGCTTTTTCACAAGATGGAGTGTGAATAGGAAGCAGCATGTGGAATTATATGCAGAGCACATTTTTTCCAGCTTTCCTGTAGATATCATGTTTCTCTATCATCATTTTTTTTCTTTCTGCTTCAAATGAAAAGTTTATTGATTTGAGTGGGAGGTAGAGAGAGAAGGGGGCAGGCAGCAGATATTTTTTACATTGGAGTTGGAACTGTGAGTTTTTCTGTGGAGCCTGATGGTCTAATTTGGGTGCCTGAACAACATATGGAAAGAGGCTGTGCTCAAGGAAAAGAAAATGCTCCATCTGTTCAGCACATAGTGTTGTGGGTTTTATAGGTTGCAGAGATGCTGATTAGGCAGGGAGGAGAGGAAGGCTTTTCCCTTTTGTTCTTTGCTGCATCCACAATTCCATGGAAGGATGTTGGTGCAGTGGCTGTTGCCGTGCTAGACGTCCAGTACTCTAACACTTGGACATTTAATTTAAAAACGAAAAGACCTTCTGTGTAAATTTCCTACATTGGAACATTCGTCTCAGAAGGTCATTTTGTTATCTGGGAGTTCAGAATAATTTCTTAGTGTTAATGTTTTGAGGATGAAGATAGAGCCATTCCTTTTTTGACATAGAGCTGGTAGAAATATCCTATTTATTTTGGAAATGAAACATTTAGGAGGATAAGCCACAAGACAGATAGAAGGGTTGTTGGCTCACACTGCAGAAGAAAAAGAAGCAGAGATGCAGTTTTATGATAAGAAGCTTAAAACTGATAAACAGCAGAAGTCTTCGGAAAGTCCATTGTGCTGTCTATTAGTATATCTACATTTCCTGCTTTTTAAAGCTGCGTTTTCTCTCAGAATGGCATTCAGTTGTGAATAACAAAACAATAATTTAGAAAACCCAAAACATTATTAGCACTTGAAACTGGAGCTGCCAAGGGAATTCTGAGAGTTGTAGTCTGGAAACACAGACCAGCGTACCTCTACCTGGAACAGTAAAAAATGAAACAGTAAAAGCTAAACGCCAAAGCCAGATAAACTTAGCAGCAGAGTGCTATCCTCTGAAGATGCCGGCCACAGAGACTGGCGAAACGTTAGGAAGAACAACCTTCAGAACACGGCCAAAGAGCCACAACAACCAATAATTGAAAATGTTGCATAGTCGGCCAGAGGGAAATGCCTTTAGAGGAAGCAGTATGTTTTATTAGCTGTTGAAATGACAATAGCAAGGGTTCTGCTGAAGAGCGTGGCTCCCCTAAGGGGATGGACAGACTCTCCCCCTTGTGCACTCCACATGCCCACTTCATCTGTCCAAAATACAGGGCACACTATCTTTTGGGCCAATCTGTTTCTGCTGTGGGTATCTTGTTGCCACTGTGCCAGAAATTTTCTAGAGATAGTACTGTACTGCCTCTTGCCCTTGAGATCAGTTGCACCAGCGGCTCTTAATAAAATCCGACTTTTCTTGGAAAGAGACTTCTCTTTGGAAAGCCTGTGGAGACATAGAGGAATTTATAAAGCCTAGTCAGACAGCGGGCTTTTGAAAACCAACAAAAACAAGACACATGTTGTATATAGTCCTTGCACAGCAAATCATTCAGAACCTTTCTCTCAGCTTGAGCAAAGCTTCCCTTAAGATCTGCCACTTGCCTCTTCTGAGGTTTAAACAGTGCTTACAATGGCGGCTGCACTGTGTTAACTGCACTCCCTCTCCCGTGCTTTCATTTCTCCTCCTTCCCCCCCCCTCCCTTCTCCCCAGGCTTAATGGGGAAACATTCATTCAAGAGAGCTGGATGCTTTCTGAGTGCTTTACTGATTTGGCTAATCCCAGATAGCTAATTCTCTTGTATCGGCCCAGTGAGGCGGCTTGCTGGGTAAACCACAAACACAGCGCTGCAGTGGTGCTATGCACCCATATTGGGGGAAGAAAAATCTTTGTGTGTCTTTGCTTTCCACCAAGGAGAAAATCTCCTTTGCCTTTGGCGCTATCCTGCTGTTTTTATGCAGTCAGAGCTGGGCTTGCTGCGTAAATCAGAAGCAGGAAAAATTATATCTCTAGCTCTTGGGGCCCCAGACTTGTGATGATAGATTCTTTTAAAAGTACTACACTTGCTTATTGAAATGGAACTTCCAGAGCCTAATACAGATGGGAGTGCTTCTCTGGGTATGAGGAGAGTCCAGAGGACACCCTCCTAGGGAAGGTTGGTCTGGAAGTATCTCCTGAGAGTACCTCCTGTCCAAGTTGATCTTGAAAAAACAGGGCTGCAGTAAGATTCTTTGAATCCTGATATGAACAAAGGAAGGGAGAACACTGGGTCCCACGGCGTCTTGTGTGTGTCAGGAGTTTTCAGAACACTTTGTGGACCTGGCATTCTTTGTGGGCATGTTCTTCCAGTTTACCTGGTTCAACACCAGTTCCATTTTCACCCCTTTTGTGTCCCTCTCAGAGGTGCTGGCACCCATATACTGGTGAGGTCGTGTAGTGGGCCAGCTGCTTAGCTTCAGAAGACCAGATGACTGGGGAAGTTCCCCCCTTGGAGCAGCATGACAGAGGTGCAGGCACATGCTGGAATGGGTGCTCCTCCATACTCTCCTGAGGGAGGGCAACAATGAGAGGAACAGTCTCTCTTGCTTCCCCAAATGGATTGTCAGAGTCTGTTGGAGGAGGAGGAAAGCAAGAAAAGCCCGCTCATTGCACCAAACCACTTTCCATGTGTCTGTGAAACCAAGTCACTGAGTAATCCAGCCTTAGCAATTAGGTCCTGTGTGCCTGAGGGATCCGCATAGCAATGGATTTTGCATGTGATACATCCTTCTGACCCTTCCTAACCAGAAGGACCCTGAGAGAGCCTAACATCACACTCAGGCTACCTTTGCTTGAACTAGGAAACAAGGGAGTTCCTAGAAATTCCAGAGGTGATTCTGGTGCCCTCTTCATTTAATCCAGGGTGAGGGTGACTTCTTGGGCCTTTTGAGTCCTTGAGATGGTTCAGTTTTCACTTATCCCCCTCCTCTCCCTTTGTCTTTCTCTCTGTTTACTTGGTGGCAGAGAAAAGTAATTAGCGTTTGGAATGTGGGGGGATGCATTTTAATCAGAGAGCAGTTGCTGCCAGGGCAGGAAAAGCAACGGTTGTCTTCCAGGCCAAGAGAAGGCAGGAGGGAATGAATGGTTCTGGAGGGCAGCAACTATTGTTGTTAGGCAGCGTCAGAGTGCCTCCAACTTGGGGTCAACCTATGAATGAATGATCTCCAGCTAGCTTGACATGATTCCTGGTATAAATGGCTTGTAGTGGAATTCGTGTGTCTAAAGCAGGGAAGGTGGCATGATGGAAGGGGGGAAAGTGAGCATGAGAAGATATTTTAATTCCATCTCCATCAACCTAAGTTAACTGTGCTGGTGAGAGATGGTGGGAGTTGCAGTTAAATGTGTCTCTAGGGCACTAGGTTGTTTTATTAGTATACCTACTTATGTTTGACAGAAGAAAAGGAGGAGTGCAGTAATTTCACAGCTTCTCTAGGGAGGAAGTGGCATTGTGTGTGCTTAACATCAGGAGTTTCCTTTGAGAGAATAAAACTTGCTTAAATATTTAAGTTTTCTGCTAATGAAAGTTATTAACATTGCTGTGAATTCTGTCTGGCTTTTATTCTCCTGCCATTCCACATATGTGTTTAGCAGAAGAAATGTGCTGTAATTTCAGTAACAATGTAAAGGGTCTTCTCAGTCAGCTTGCAGTTCAGTTGCCGCCTGAAAGTACTCACTTGCTTAAACACTGATTCTGCCATGAACACTTTGGCTTTGCATTTTGTTCTCTGAGAGGTTTGTGCAAAAAACATGGAAGAGGTGAGGCGGAGGATAAGCTGAGGGACCTTGATTGCCTCTCAGCACACGGCAGTACTAGACAACTTCATGGTGTTAAGACATGAATTTGTGACTACTCTGATAATGTCTGTATCTTCTCCTTCTATTGGGAAATCATGGTGGCTAGTAGGGCTTCTAGGTGGTCTTCTGTCCTAGCACCTGATTAGCAGGTTTGCTCATCCTGCTTCCTTTAGACTCTTCTCCTCTCCATTCAGAAGAAAACCAGAAAAACTCCTGTAGGGTTTTTTTTTAATGATCCCTCAGTCATTTCCTGGTGTATGCAAAGATCTCTGCCCAGGTTGCAGCCTTGGTTGCCAAATATAATACCCTAGTTTCAGTCACTGTTGGTCCCCCTCTCCAGCTAGGGTTGGGAAAGATGCTTACCAGAGATCTTGGAAAGGAGCTGCCGTTGCCACAGATTTGATAGACCGTACAGGGCTATTTAGGCTGTGGGCTCTTTGGGTCTGAAGCCACTTGCCATGTTGCCTGGCCTTCTCCTTGCTGGGTTTGTCTGTGTTGCTCCTCAGGACTGCTGCAGGATAGGTAGTGATGCCGTTCTTTGTCAAAGCTGTTGAATCATGGTCACGGGGCTCCAGGAAGTCATTGTGGATGATCTGTCGACTAATTATGTTCTTCTGCGAGGCAAGTGAGGCAAAATGGTGAGTTTTAACTGCCACCCAGGTTGAAAGACATGTTTGTGACCCTTAGAGCCAGAATCCCTACCCTTTCTTTGTGTGTGTACACGTTCTGTTGAGGTGACCAGATAGGTTATGTTCCATATTTAAATCTGTGGCTTGGTGTAAAAAAAATGTTTTCAGTTGGTCCCAAGAGCCGCATCGCTCCCTGAGCATTGATCCCCAGGGTGCACATCTGCTGGCTTCCGTGCTGCTTGGGTGGAAGAGCTGGAGATGTCCGTGTCAGTTCTCCTTGCATTCCTCACATGCCTGCCTTCCCTGCTCTCCCTCTTGTGCCCCCCCCTTTCCTTTGAAGATCTTTCAAGCAAGGACTGCAGATGAATTGGCCAGGCCTCTTGGTGGCTCCCAGGGGGTCTCGGGTCTCACTTCAAATGCTAGCTTGCTGGTGGGGGCGGGGTGTGTGTGCAGGAGAAGGATGGAGGGCCGAGATATCGCTTCTCTTCCCTGATTTAGTGATGCTGAACTTACTCTTTTGCACTCCAGTCCTCTAATTGATAGTCAGAGGGTGCCTTAATCTGAGAAAGAGACTGAAGGGCTATTCACAGGTGGATGTGTTGCAGCCCAGAGAATTTTTTGGATTACAGCTGCCCTGTTCTCTAGCTTTTTTGAGTTGTCATCCATACAGCAGGCTTGTGCACAAATCATGATCTTGTTATGTGCATCCCTGTGTTCGTTTCTACCCATCTTAGTTTTTTGGGGGGGATCAGCACCTGTGATTGATTCTGTAATAGGTTGTGGTGAAAAGTGTACCAAATTTCACTAAGGTTGCGGGATACACCATTGCACAGATCTAATGAACCGGAAGACAATTTGTAGGCATGACCTCAAATTCTTAGTCAGCATGAAACTTCAGCTCACCTTTTTTTGCTCTTGGCTTTCTGGGAGAAATGTTAATGGAACATATAGGGTGCCATAAGAAATATGTGTCTTTTTCCTAAGGGATTCTGAGAGCTTTCCAGGAACAGATTGACAAAGGTGGCTCATGCTTTTAAATAGTCAATTGCAAAGCTCCTGTGTTATTACTTGGAAAATGCTAGTGTCCTTGGCCGTATCTAATGCCACACCACTTGCATCTTCATTGAAAGCTGTAGGGAGCAGCTGGCACAGTGGGAGTGGATAAATATGAATTGCACAGGCCTGCATGTGTTCAGCTTGGATTGAGAAAGTCACACTTGCGGTGGACCTGTTTCCTCTACTTCGCAATGTTTTCAGATATGGAATGAGACACACCCGTTGGGAACATCGCTTCCCAAACTGCGTGACTGAGTTGTTCTGAGCAAGTCTGTCTGCTCAAGCCGGCTAACTGAACTCTGAGAGCTGTTTTGTGGCGCAGCTCATGTGGGGAGGGAAACCACTGGAGAGAGTAAATTAAGCATCAGGCAACCTGCAGGGGGAATGAGCTCTTCCCCATCCCCCATTTCGCTCTCGCTCTCGCTCTTTCTCTCTCTGTGGGCTGAAATGTTTTTATGGCACAATCCGTTCAACAGGGCTAGGCTTCATCATTGTTTCTGTGGCTTAGGAGTACTTCAGTGGGGGCGGGGGGGGTTAACTATGGCAGCCAAAAATGCAAAGATGGCCACAGTTTCATCTTACCCTTGAAGGCGCCCGTTATGTTCAATCTCTGATGGGGAAAACTGTTAGAGCCCTTTGCTTCCTGTATTTCTGAGAGTAGAATCTTTTCCTGGAGGCCGGAGAGAGGAGGAAATAACCTAAAGTCTGCAGTGGGTTGTCCAGTAAAGGGATGGATAAAAAAAGAAAGACACAATTAGTGCTAGCAGCACCGACTGCTGCCAGATTGCATTAAAATCATCATTAAGGCAAATTCCTCATAGAGACTCTTGGGAGACAAGAGACTGATTATACGTGAACGAAGAGGGCTTTGGATTTCATTTGTGACTGCTTTATTACTTAAATCTTCTGTTGACACTTGGGCTTTTATCCAGGTTGCCATGATATTACATAGAGGTGAGATGTTTCTATGTTTTATTTTATGTAAGAGGCTGACCTTGGCTGGTCCTTGAGCAGAGTCTGCTTCAAGTGGAAAGCCTTCGTCCCTGATCTTCCAGGGTCTGCAGTCCTTTCTTTTCTTTTTTCCACTGAGCACCCTGGAAGCAAGAGGCAGTGCCATGTTTTCCCCATCAGATAAGCCAGATTTGACTGTGTGGCACACTATATATTTCCATTATTTTCATCTGTGGTTGCTGCCATCAGATACCAGCTTTAAATGGCTTTTGGAGTTTTTTCTAGAGTAAGTGTTCATGCCCCATATATTGGTGTACATCAGCTTGAACACTTCTGCAAGTTAAAAAGGTGACTTAAAAGAGATAAATAGATGACAGAAGAAACAAAGAGGAAAGCCCCCCCCCAAAAAAAATCCTAGAGATCCATAAGAGATGCCTCCCATCACAGCTGCCATGTGTTCAGATGAGCTTGTTGCCTGAAGGATCCGCCCTTTTTCCTGTGATAGCTCCCTGGATGCACAGTGGGAGGAAGTATGGCAGGATCAAGACAAGATCAAGATCAATGGGGTTTCCCCAACACACTAGGGTTGAAACAGCTGCTGCTTCATTTGTGACAGGAATGTGAAGTGTATGTTCAGAACATGTGCCTGATTATCGTCTCTGAGCACTGTTTCAATTGCATGTTGTTCAAATGGCTTAAGAGAAGCCCGGGAAAGGCTCTTTCCTGCTGTGTGAGCTATTGTGTGGTGCAGCTCCCTTTTCTGTTGTGTGCCTGATTTGGGAAGAGCTAGAGCTGGCTTTGAGTTTGCAGAGTGAATTGTAAAGAGGTGAGGGTTCACATGGCAAGTAGGAGGGACCAGAAGGTGATTCAGCCCCAGTAAGCTGGCCAAGAGTCTGACTTGCCAGTAAGAGGACCAAGCAGTGTAGTGAGTGTTGGCCCCCTGATGGGATGTTTGGAAGCTGAATCATTGTGTTTCAGTTGGGCAGTGGGGATGGGGGAGGACACACACTGGATCCTGGGCAACTAGAAAGCCCACTAAATTCCCAGGGTGGTTCAGCTGCCAAAGTAGGGCTCAAGGACAAAAGGTTTTGTGGACCTACTGGGGGTTGTTTAGTTCGTCCTCTTGTTAATCACACAACTGGAAAGGGTAGGCTGGTGGCTAAGAAAACAAATTTTACTCTGCATGGGTTCTTTATCCGGTTACACTGAAGACGTCAAGGACCAGACTAGACAAGATGCTAGAATACCTGCAAGTGAGAAGCCTGGAAAAAGCAGAATGAATGGAAAATGCTAGGAAGCCAGGGTTACATCATGGCAAACTTCAGTTTTCAGTTGGTTTTGCTGTCTGTGGCCGCAGAAGAAGCCAAGTTGGAGTAAACAGTTTACATGCAGCTTTCTCTAGAAGCTTGACTTACCATCGTGTGTGAACATTAAAAGAAAGTGGAGCTGCAAAAGTAAGAAACAGGATTTTATCCCAGATAAATTCAAGTCAGGGCTGGAAGACTTCATTCCACCTCTTTCATGATTTGGAAATTCTCAGAGTTGTGCTTTTGTTATGGTTTTAGGATTTTATGCTGCTGTGGTGTGGGTTAAATATTAGATGGTGCTTAGAATGTTAGACGGAGTAGGTGAAACAGTCATAATGAGACACAGACTCAGCAATTGATAGGGAAATAAGCCTGCTCCTCTTTCTCTGCTACGAAGAAACACAATTCTCTTTTACCTGCATGCTGTTGCAGGAGAATCTTTCCCATGCTTATATTTCAATAAAGCCCAATAGCTGTTAATTGTTTTGTTTTTCCTGAAAGACTTGTTGTTCTTGAGGATAAGTGGTATAGTAGTCCGTGCAAGCATATCAGGCAAAATCCAAAGAAACGAAACAAAACAAATTTATTTAAAAAAAGAGTCAAAAACATGTGGCACCTTAAAGACTGTTGCATTTTAATATGAGCTTTCGTGGACAAGTGACATTTCCTCTCCAGTGTGCTGGTGCAATAGACAGACAGGAATGTGAATCGTCTAGGTGTTCCTTAGTTCAGAATCTTGTTTTTCTCGTTGGGAAATTGCTCTACCTGACCTCTGATTCAGGTGAGAAGTGGAAAGAATAAAATGTCTGTGTCTGCACAATGGCAGAAGAAGCAAGGAGCAGGTCCTTGTTTTAGAATTAGTAATATTTTTCTTCTTTCGTGTTGAGGATGGAGTGAGGAGAAACAGAGACCTTTACAGAATTGTTGGTTCTGAAAAACAGCCTTTTAATAGATTAAGAATGTTCCTAGATCAGTTTCTTGCATTTTCTGTTTTCCAGTATTCTCTAGTACTGTACCTGGTCATGTACCCCCTATTCCTCTTACTTTTGATGGTGAACTGCCAGATGTTAGTCTAGATTGGCTGTTTGCTTTCAAATGCTGCTGCCTCATTGGCTGCAGGGGAAAATCTTGGGGTTGTCCTGGCTTTCCTTCCCTCTGGCATCTGTTATTTCTGTCAACTGCTTTGGCTTCTGCGGAGTCCTGGACATGATCCTCCTCCCAACAGGCTGGAACACAACCAAAATCTAGAAGATGGAAAAACTGCCTTTCAAAATGATAGCAAGTAAATGTTCATAGCCTCAAGTCAGTAGGATAGTATAACAAGATGTATATAACATGATGAGGACTAATAGATAGTTATAGTATGAGCTTTTGCAGATGCAGAGAGTCTGTTTTCCTCCGATGCCTCGGTAAACCTTTGAGGAAGCTCATGCTGAAATCAGCCTGTTCGTTTTAAAGGTGCCATGAAACTCTTTGGTCTTCTGTTGCCCCATGGAAATCATAAGGGCTGGTATGCAGTGGACTGTGTGTACATAGAGGCCATCTAAGACCCTGACAAATTTCAAGACATAGGCTGGTGCTTAGAGGAATTTGTGCCTCTTTTAAATTGTGCTGGGTCTATAATTGTAGCCTATATTTTTGCTCGTTCTGCATGACTAGTCAATGTGTAAAAGGTCTTAACACATACAAAACATTTTGGTGCCAGGAACCTGCAAGCCACGGAGTTTGGCCCCACTGGAGAAGAGGCAGAGAGAGGAAGCAGTCTGGTGCAGAGACCCATCACAATTCTGTGCAGATTGTGACACATATTTGCTTCATACCCTCTGGATGATAGATCTCAGAGCCATAAAGACACTAGCAAGATGGTACTAAAATATTATTCCTTTCATAAAGATAATCCCTCCTAAAATTACAATAATCCATTGACCTGCACATTATGTTTGCCTCAGTAGCTTTTCCTAGTGCTCTGTGGCTGCTAAACTTCAGATTCCAAGTATGCTAATGACAATGCTCATCTCCGAGCCACACAGCAAATACAGAAAAACCCATTTGTAAGTCCTTATTGGTATGGTATTACATATGCAGAGTGGCTCTAGAAGCCAGAAAGATGTGGTGTATTCTTTATATCTCTGAGGAGAGGTCACGGTTTCAAAATGAGAAATTTCTGTTTGAATGACAAGATTCCTCTTTGCTTAAAAGGCAGTCATTCTGAGATCTGTTCCCTGTACTGCTCTTTTTGATTCTGAGGCTTCCGGACATTTTCTTTCTTTCTCTTGATATATTTATATACTGTTTCTAATGCTGGAAATGTAGCCTGATGAAACTGAGTGAACTGATAGGAGGGTCCAAAGTTCCAGTTTAGTTGGCTTTGTATTGGTGTCCATTTCATCTGCCTTACGCAAAGAGGCTGATAGGGCTGGGAAGCAGGAAGAGAAGGCCTCTGCCATACAGATTATAGCACCAGCTGGGAGTCAAGTGCAAGGGAAAGAGGCAAGGCTGGGCAGGGGAAAGGGCCCCGAGCATTTTCCTGAGAAAGGGCCCCGAGCATTTTCCACCTAATGGCTGGAGGAAAAAGGGAAAGCGCCTTGACTGAAATTCGGAGTCTCTGGAAATGTGAACATATGTACAAAGATCAAATGTCACCCTGTGTGTGTGTGCGCGCATGCGTGTGCCTGGGCATGTAACTGTGCATGGCGTTAACAGGCTGGTTTGTATTCTGTCCTGTAAGTCAAAAACGATGGCAGAGGCAGTTTATTAAAGGAAGGTGATTAAAAACGTGATTTCAGTTAGCTGGGCTATTCTGCTTGGTTTTGTGCTGAGCATTGTGTTGGAAGGTGTGTGTGATCACTTCTTTTTCCAGAACTGCCCAGAGATGAGATAGCCAGGCTGAGAGAGCCTGCACCTACAGTGTGAGAGAGTTCGGGAGAGAGAGAGAGAGAGAGAGAGCGAGCGTGGAGGCGTCCTTTGTGAACGATACTTTGTTTCCAGGACTTGCTTTTGCAACAAATTTGAAAAATTGTTTCTAGGACTTACCCTTTGAATGTGGATCCGTCGTTTACAGACCTGAGCAGGGCTTGCGGAAGAAGGCGGCCCATCTCGCCCTCCTCCTCCTCCTCCTGAGCCGATGCCCCCTTTTTGCCACTGGCGGCAGTGTGGGTGCGTTTTCTGGGGGTAGGGGCGGGGGGGGCGGTGCTTCTGGGCTGGCGACGTCATCCAGCTGGTGTAGTAGGGAAGGCGCGCGAACGAGCTCTGTGCGTGCACGCGCGCCTGCCTGCCTGCCTCTCTGCTCGGCTCCAGCGGCTCTCAAGCGGACAAGTCCGTCGAGTCTCTCCGGAGCCGAGAAGAGAATCCGGCCCCCTCTTCCTTTCCGGCGGGCGAAAGCCGCCCTCCCTCCCTGCCGCCGCCCCCTCTCCCGCCTGGCGGAGCCTTTCCTTCTCCAGCGCCCCGGGGCCGACCTGGCCGGAAGTCCGGCGATGCCAGAGGTGAGCAGAGGTGCTCCTGCCCCGCTCGCTGGCCCGCCTTCGCTCGCTGGCTGGCTGGCTTCCACCCCGGAGAGTTGGGCGTCGGGGGCGTTTTCGGGAAGGGTGGCTTCTCTGTCCCGGACGCGGCTGGGCTCTCCCCTCCTCTCCCGTCCCCTCCGCGGAGGTGCCCGTGGGTGTCGGGGGAAAGTTTGGACGCCATTGGGGCACCTCTGGGAAAGACCGGGCAAGGCTTTCACGGGGCTGTGAAGGAAGCGAAGAGGGTATGGGGCGAGAGGGTTGGCTGGCTGGCTGGGTGGGTCTCTTTCGGGCTACATTTCACTTCCATTAAATTCTACTCCGTCTGGGAATCGTTCTTTCTCTTTACCCAAAGCTTCTTAACCAAATGCATTTCCGGGAGTGAAAGTCCACTGTTAGGTTTGCTGACTTTAAAAGGCTTATCCCAGGGGAAAACAGGCGGGCCCACTCCCGCTACGGATGGGAGGAAGGCGACAGCACCTGACAGTTGTGGTGTTTTTTCTTCCGCTTCTCTGGGGGCGGCTATGCTGCCTGGTTGATTGTTCCCTGCAAGACTGGGTGGGTGGGATTAGGAATAGGAATAGGAGAGGTGTATCTCATCCATTTTTTCTTCCTCTATGTCCAATTCTGAATATAATAGGGCCTGGGCATTAAAGCACCAGACAGCATTCCTCTGTGAGTTTCACTCTCAGCCTTTTGCATATATGCGTTGGTATGGGAAACTGGACGGGTGGTTATGAGAAGCTTTTTGGAAGGGGCTCCAAAGAGGAGGAAGAAAGGTGCAGTACAGGAAGAGGATTGAGTGCAAGATGCTGAGCGGAGAAGGGCCTGATTCTCAAGGTAGGCATGGAATGGTTGTAGATCCCAGGACACCCTCCCCCTAGGACTAATACCTCCCGGATGCTTTGGAGTGTGGACATCCCATTGTCCTCAGCCAGTAGTTTGACTGATGTGGCACCACCTGGGAGAAGGCTCTCCTGGGCTATCATCTTGCTCCTAGCTTCATAGACCTTTCTGATTCCTTAGAGAACTGTAATCATAATGAGATGTTCTAAAGAAGACCCCAGATATTGTGGATTCCATCTCCCAGAAGTCTCAGCCATCCTGGCCAGCTGAATTTCAAAGAATCTGGAGGGCCAGGAGGTGAGAACCACAGCATTGAATTATTCTAGTGGAGTCTTGGAAAGTTACTGGCTGTATGTGGCCCACTTTTCTGTTGGCAGTGGCTGTTTTTAATTTTATTTAACACATGTACAGTATATTCCATCTGTTATATTCTGAGACAGCCTACAAAACTAATTCTGCAGTAGTATAGAACCATAATAAATTGGTTTCTGAAGGTGAGTTTTGGTGTGAGGGGGGTGTAATCTTAGTGCATGCTATTTTTAGATCACAGGATTCTAACTGTGTTGGCATCCCCAAAGTAGAGAAATGGAGAGGACGCAAGTAGGCTCCTGGGGTTTGTTTTTGAAAGGAAAGAAACCTTTACTTGAAAAGATGAAAAATTAATTATCGGCCATCAAGTGGTTTTCAACCTACAATGACTTACAGGATTTTCTTGGTATAAAATACTCAAAAGTGGTTTCCCTGTTGGGATACTTTGATACTGTGCTGCTTGTCAAAGGCCAGACAGATGGCAGGGCCTGCAGCCCCATCAGCCTTCCCCCACACTCCCTCCAGGTGGTCTCAACTGGCCACTCTCCCGAGGGGCAGAGTGGGGTTTTGAACTCCATATCCGTGGTTCTCCAGACGGGCTGTCCAACCCATGGAACTGTACCAGTTTTCTTTGAAAACTTCCTGATGGTGACTGGCCAAAATAGAGTTTTTAATCCAATGTGTAGTGCATTTTTAAAAAATGGTAGTTTTCATTATGTATTCACACCTGCAATAGATGTTCTGTGAAATGAAGTTTTCAAGCTACTGCTTAGATCTGAGTTGGCCTACAGAAAAGGGTCTCTCATCCTTTTGCCTTCTTTTCTAACATTAAGTGGAAAGTAGAAGACCCAACTGGGTGAATAGCGGCACACAAGCTGTGGTAGTAGCAATTGTCTGTACAGAGCTCTCAGTGCACATGTCGCTTTATAGAGCGTGAGGACAGGTCCCTGCCACAGGGTACAGTATTTGCAGGCTAAAATTATATGTATATATATGTGTGTGTGTGTGTATTGTTATTAGTATAAACAAACAATTACAGTTTATAGTTTTAATGCATAATTTATTGTTCTTTGATTTCTTTTTTTTTAACACTATGAGCCGCCTTGAGTCCCCTTACTGGGGGAAAAGGCAGCCTATAAATGAAAAATAAAAAATAAAATAAAATAAAATACAAGGGAGGGAACAAAAGGCAGTTTGAGGGCTGGAAGTGGAGAAAGAATGTGGATTTATGTCTAGTCATGTGCATAACTAGATATATGGGGACTGGTCTCGGTCCAATTTTAATCCTAATGAGAGCAGACCCATTGAAACCAGTGGGACCCAAGTAAGTGGTGACTGGTCTCATTGGTTTTTAAAAGTCTCTCCTGTCTTTGACACTGGAAGTGGATTCGGCCCTGAAAGGTCAAGTGAGGTGTTCTGCATGGAGACCCCTGTTTTTAGGACATTGGCTTCCATTGGAGGAATGAACTCTCTTGCTTACAGCACAGTGACTTAACTCTGATTGCTAGACCCCAGAGGATAGTTGTTGTGTGCAGCTATTTATATTTGATTTTTCATTTCTGTTCCCTGTGTGCCAATGGCTGGGCCTCTCCTCTCCTCTGTTCATTCCCCACCTCCCTTTGCATGGAGCCTGCAGCACAATGGCGTGTAAATGCCACTGCACTCAGATGGGCCTCCACTGGAATTTTCATTCTCTCCATCAAACCCAAAGAGGCTGAGTGGCCTTAATGGCTCAGCGCTGTTGCCAGAAAGCCCTTGGGCGGTTATGTTGAAGGCGAAACTGGGCAACAGATTGGCTTATTAGAAAAGGTGTGTTTCTTAGCTCCAGCTGAGTCCAGTTCACACACGTGCTCAAGGTGTTCTGTTTCTGAATCCGGGTATAGTACGAAGGAGGATTAGTCAAGTTAATGAGACTAGAATCTCTGTAAGCTTATCCTGCACCAGACCACGGCAGTTGGCATTGCTAGGAATAAGGCCATTCCCTGCACACCCCTGGGAATTCTGCAGTTGTGTAGCTTTGCTTCAACATCCCCCCCCCAAAAAAAAGTGTATGTTGGCAGCTCTGAGGGCTGTGCTGTGTTGCAGAAGCAGGGAAAAGCTGCCAGGGTCATGCCAAGTGGGGCAGCTTTTCCCTCGATCCTTGCCACTTTGTCTCCTGGATTGGATCTTTTGCTGCCGTGTTGCTTGTGGGTGACGTTTTCTGTCTGGGTGCCTTGGCACGTGGGTGGAATGGAGTAACATCACAGGGGCAGAGCCTTGCCATGGAACATGAGCAGCAGGTAGACTCATCCATTGGCATTCAAAGCACATGTGGGATGCTCTCTAAGGACACAGGAATGCCCACATCCACCAAATACTGGTTTCAAGTGCGATGGCATCCTTGTTCCCTTTGGCTTCACTGTGGATGTCAGACTGAGAACAGTCCGGCCACATCTGTGGGGCTGGGGTAATATTGGGACCCTTTGAATGGCAGTAAGACCCAGAGCCACATTCTAGCATCTGCAGCTGAACTCGGTGGGTGGAAGCCCTTGTGACAGGGAATGTTTTCACGTACTGTATGTTGAGGCTGCGGGTAGCCATTTTCCAGGTACCTGATTTAGATCACGGAGACATCATGTGCTAGAAACCATTGTGCATGAACAATGTTTAGTTTAAAGCATTGTGGACTGTGAAGCCTGACCACAGGTTTTGGGAGGGATGCATGCCTAGCCATCGCATAGGGGTACATGTTTCCAGAAAATGCTTGTTCTGGAACATGACCCTTATAGGAATGGCAGGGGCATCTGTAGTATTTTTGCAGCTATTGTAGACTTAATTCTATGCAGTGCCTATGCTGACTTTGTTGAAAATTACCCATACTGATTAGCAGTCTTCCAGTTTTTTTTTAAAGCAGCACAACAAAACCAGTTTGTATCTGATCCTGAAGAAACGGGTTTTGTCAGTCTGCTGTTTTCTCCTCCCTCCCTCTCTTTTTAAGGTGGTGACTGTACTTCCAGCCATTGGCAAGAACTTAACTGCTAGGTGCATGCCGGTGGACTTCTCCTCTGTTTATCTGTGGCTGTGAAAAAGGGTTGTTTTACGGCTGACTAATTAAACAAGGCAGGGAGATAAAGAGAACATGACCTAGGTTAAGGTTGCTAGCAGTGGATGGCGAGTGAGGGGGTGGATGGTTGGTACTTGGTAGCTTAACCTTCTCTCCTTCTGTAAACACAGGCGAGGACTGTGGATTCTGGGAATCCAGGGGAAATTGACTCAAAACAGGAATTGAGTTCTAGATGACAGTTTTTAGATGCTTAAAATCTCTTGGGACTTGTTCTCCGTGTATCCTATTAAAATCCACTCAGCTGTGAAGTCACAGTAATAGATTACAGCAGCTGAGGTTATTTTAGAAGTAAATGTACTTCATTCTGCAGACTTTGCTTGGTTTTTCTCAGTCTGTAGAGATTATGCTGCCACCACCGCTGTTATTCTTCATTTCTTTATGAGGGACAAGGCGTATTGCTTTCTGCTGTAAGCAGTGTGGGGCTGTGGAATGACCTCCACAGGGAAAGGTGCCTCTTCTGAAAGGGAGAATCTGAGTGGACCCTTTAACAAAGTCCTCTTGTCTGTGCTGCGCAGCCTTCCTTTTTGGCTGGGTGAACATCAACACATAAAGCCCAGAAGTCTTTCATTGGGGTCTTCATGTTATATAGTTTGAATACAAAGTCATTAGCATATTATTCATCATTGTAAAGGAACATATTCCACACTGTATTTTTTTTTCAATTTTTCTGGAAAAACAAAACAAAGGCCTTGAGGAAAAAATGGAAAATCACAGTTTTTTTCCTTTT